CCCGCGTCCCGGCGCGCTCGCCGCGCGCGGCGAGCGCGCGGCAGCCCGCGCGGGGGCCGCGGGTCGACGACGCGTAGGGAGGAGCCTCTCGTCGGAGGGAGCCTCCGACGGAGCCGACTACTCGTAGGAGGAACCCTTCGTCGACTTGTCGTCGACGTTCGCCGTGGGAGGAAGCTTTCGTCGACTGCTCGTAGGAGGACCCCCTCGAGTCATGGCGAAAATCGCGACGGGAGGCTTTCCGCTATTCTCGGCCTCTGCGTGCCTCTGCGGGGCCTCGGGAGCGTCAACAAAACGACTCGGGGTGAACAGCTGGCCACGGGGAAAGGGCCAGGACCTCCTTGGGGGTCGACGTCATGTAACAATCAGGACGTCGGGGGTCTGGGCCTGGTGCGGGCCTTGTGGGGGTCCCCCGATCGCCGAACGCGATGCGGTGGTAGCGTCTTGCGCGCTCGTGTTTGGCCCCCGCGGCCACCAAGAAGCCGCGCACCGAAGGTAACTCTTACCCAGTGTCACTCCTCGCGTGTTGTCGAACTAGCCTCAACGGTCGGGACGGGCACGGGGAAGGTGGTGGCGAAGAGGAGGAATAAGTACCGATACCGCTACCCTTCCCTCGTCTTCCACTTGGTGGGTCTCCTGGGAGGCCCTCGTCGACACCGCGGGATTCGCCTCGAAATCCTGGTCAGAACGCACCATGAGAGAGGTCCGGGGAAGCAGTATCGGTGACTATTTTATAATTCCCCCAGTGACGAAGGCGGACAGCTAGGCCTCCCAGCTGGGGTCGGTCTGAGCAAGCGGGATCGGAGGATCACGTGGCATCGCCGACGCATCGGCGATGCGGCTCGATGTGGAGTCCGATCTTCTCCACGCCGACGTCGGCGATGCATGGCCGACGTCGCCGATGCATCGGCGATACAGCGCGATCCTCCGACCCCATCGACGCGGACCCCATCTGGGAGGTTTCTAAAGACGAATTGCATTTTTGAAGAGCAGGCATCGGTGGGACATATAGGACTAGAGTTCGCCAGAACTTGGGTTCGCCGACGCTTTTCGACGGGCATCTCCTGAAATTGTTCGGCCCAGTTTTCGTGGCATGTTTGCAGCGGGAGCTTGCGTCAAATTTCAGTTGGGGTTTCAGGCCAACCCGAGTCTTTTCCGAACCAGATGTCTACGTCTCCCCGAAAAATGTATAAGCATAATTTGATTCGGCGCTCTACGCGGACTTGTTGTATCAGCGTGGACCTCCAACAGTTTGAGTGGATGAGTTTTTCGCTCCGCTGAGCTCTTGCCCATGTTAGACAGGTCTCGCTGTCGCCGTCACCGCGGGCGATGTCCACTCGAGAGAAGTCGCCTGCCCATCCGCGGCCGCTGTCGGTTTGGACAACAGTTTCTTCCGGGCATCGTGCCCATTTTTCCGTACAACTTTCGGGCGTGCCGAACGTCTTCGTCCGTTCGGACCCGGAGGTCTTCGTCGGTGCGAGGAGGCGCTCCAGCCTTGGCCCCAAATCTCCGACGATCTTCGTTCGTTTTCGGTCTGGGCGCTCTTCCTCGAGGCGGACCCTCGGGCGCTTCAAAGACGGTAAGCTTCTGGCGGCAGGAGGGAGCCTTCGCCCCCCCCCCCCTGCTCTGCGCTGCTCCGCCCTGCCCGCGGCGCGGCACCCCGCTCCGCCCGTGCAGCGGCTCGCTCCATGGGGCGGCGCGTGGCCGCCAGGCCCGCGGCCGACCACCGCCGGGCCCCTCCGCGCGCCTGTGTCCCCAGGGCGCCGCCCCCGTCCAGCCCTGGCCAGGAGTCGCCCCCCCCAGGGGGGCCCTCGAGGCAGGGGCCCGGACGAGCCGGCACGGCCAGAGGGCACGGCACCTGAGCCCCAAGGAAGTGTCTGCGGGGCCTGAGCAGTGAGGCGGCGGACAAAGTGCACATGGCGGCCCTCTCCCAGGAACAGTTTGCAGGGCCCAGAACTTGCAGCGTCCTTTGCCTGACCCCGGCCCCCCGTCCGAGCGAACGCATGGACGATGCAACCCCTGGAGGCGACGGGCGAGGCGTCGGCGAACCAGGCGATGGCCTTCGAATGAAATAACCAGGGGACGGGGCCAACCGAGGGGTCATTGAAAAAGCTTAAGTTTAAAAGTTGGTGTTTTTGTCCCGCTCCTTAGTATTCGATCGTATGTCCCCGGCCGTCGCCTCCCTCTCTTCTTCCACCCGTCGTCGCCATGGAGCCTTCCATGGCTCGAGCCACCGCCCAGGCGTCCAGAGGGGTGCGAGGATACAATGGCCGTCTGAGCAGGGCTCGCAGTAGCGCTGCCATGGACGGCCCCACCGCGCCGCACAGCAGCGGCAGTCGCGGGTGCTGCACGCGACCGCGACCGCTACCATGGCAACCCAATTGTGCAGCGCAGGCCAAGGATGCCGGCGAAGACGGAAGAGGAGATGGCGCGCTCCAGAAAAGGCCTCGCGTCCAGCGAACCTCGCCTTCGGCGGGCGGAAGCTAGAAAAGCGGCGCGGGTGCGCCGGCAAAAGCCGGCGGGAGGTGGCGGATGTATTCGGGAAAAGCAAGACGTCAGCATTTTTGGGTCCAGGGTTTCCGGAGCTGGCCATATGGATGGAGATGGAGACAGGCGTAGCGAGGGCCCAGATCGAGACTCCAGCCGCCGCCCAGCCGCGACTTGGAGTCGAGGGAGGAGGCGCTCAGAGGACGTCGAACATGTCCCGCTTCGTGAGCGATGGCTGTCCAGGCTGAGACGGCAGCGGAGACGTACATCGAAGCAATCAGTCCGCCGGCAAGTGCGGAAGGGGCGGCAGGCCTTGGACCCACAGCTTCGTCGAGACCGGCCTCGACATCGGCGCGTGCGGAAACAGCGACCCGGGGCAGACGACTGCCGGCGTCGGCCTCGCCACTGGTGGCATATGCGTGCAAAGCGCTGGGGCCCAGCAGTCACCATTTCCGAGTGTTTTTTCGCCGATCCCTTGCCGTAGATGATCTTCTGGCTCAAGGCGGCCAGTTCCCTATGAATTCGCAGTGTTTGAGGATTTCGAAGCGAATCTTGCAAATTTCCGAGTCGCCAGCCACGGCATGGGAACTGGCGCGTGCCGGAGGGCAAGCCAGTGATAGACGGATGTTGGTGTTGCCACTTCCAGCGGTATACCTGCGCTTGCCACCGAGCGGGCAGAGGAGCTCGGATCCAACCGCCCGCGGCCTCGGCGTCGGAGCCACCGCGCGTTGGAGGACGGATGATGGATTCGGGCGGGCCCCGGCGGCGTGAACGAGGGTGCCACGAGGCCCTGGCGGAGTTCGCGAAGCGCTGTGCCGACGAAGGACCGGAGAGCAGCTTGCAAATGTTTGAGCAGGGCTGCCAGGCCGCGGCCATGACATGAGGCCGCCGCCCACGCTCCCTCCGTCCCCGCGCGGTCGCGGGAGACGCCAGAGCGACCGAAGAGCAGAGCACTTCGCGGGCACAGTTGATGCACTGACGCATACGCATGGCCGACGTGCACGACGGTTCAGGACATGCGTGTCCGGCGACGTGCTTGCGGAGGCGGGGGCGCAAGCCGACACGGGGGCTGAGGAGCAAGGTCGGCTTCAGACGGCCGCACCGCCTCACATAGGCTCCCAGAGAAGAGTGGTCCGACAGCCCAGACGCCCAGACCGCCTCCAGAACAAAACGGTGGCAGTGTTCACGCTCAGGTACGGTTGGTTCGCGTCGCGTTGACGCGCGGCGACCCCGCAGCGGGCGTTCATGGTTGAACGCCTCCAGTTGCGCAGAATCAGCCGATATGGAATGATCTTGTGATCGAAAGGCCGCCGCCTGCTCAAGATTGAGCAATCCACGCGGTGTCAGAAACCATTGACCAGGTCGTCAGGGCACAAACCTGCCGTATGAGGGCTCTTCCGATGCGCATTCTTGCGCCGCCATCACGACCGCCGCGCAGGACTTGCAGGCGGAACTCCGTGGCACCAAACGAGCCACGAGACAAGGCTGTTGGAAGAGGCCGCAGGCCAAACCAGCATGGTCGATTCGAAGTCCCGCATTTCGACACAGACCGCTCCTCAAACGGCGGGCGGCGGCCAAGGAAGGATACAGTCAACGGATGGATGCAGGGGGCTGCTCAGCGACAGGTCTTATCCTGCCGTTGTGCATCCTCCGACCCTTGCCCCGGCTCTCGCCGTGTCGTCCCCGATGCTGCAGGCAAGGGGTGGCCACTGGAACGGATGATGCGTTCCTCAACGCCAACAACCCTACATGCTCGAATGATGTAGCAAAAACGATGAAAGACGCTCAGCCCACTGCGCCAGGTGCGAACGGGGGTAAACCATGTGGCCGAGAAGCGCGAATGGGGGGAAGAGCGCGCTGGATTGACGGTAATTATGGCGTCGAAGCCGCGCGAGGCGTCCGACTGAACTAATAACACCGTCCTTTTCCCTCGTGCTTTCCTCTGCCATCTCTGCTCGTCACCTCCCTCACCCTTCTGCCCTTCCTCGTTTCTCTTCCTAGCGCTCGTCCCTTCCAGGCCGCCCCAAATTGGGTCGGGGCAGATAGGGTCGGAGGATCGCGCCGCATCGCCGATACATCGGCGATGCGACGAATCTGCGATGCGAAAAGGTTTTCCGACCCTGTCTACGCTGGTCCCATTGAGGCGGCCTCCCTCCCTCGCCTCCAGTTTGAGCCGCCAGGGGGCCGAGGTGGCCCGTCATCGGCTTCCGGACTTGAATTGGCCCTTGAATCGCCAGTGTCAATTTTGCAGAACTCTTGCATCCTGCGATTTGTGTCTATCTATTTGCGTGTCCCTGGCGGCCTCCTTTCTGGCGCCAAGGGGGGGGGGGGGGGGGGTCCGACCCCCCCCCCCTCTTTTCCAGCGCCAAGGGGGGAAGGCGGGGGGCCCGGTCCGGACCTTCCCCCCTCCCCCCTTCAGGGGTGATGGGGGGAGGGGGAAGGGGGGGATGGAAAATGCGCCCCCCCCCCCCCCCCTCTTGGAACGGGCGGGGTGGGGGGGTCCTGCGAGCGCACCCCCCCTTTTGTGCATTCAGGGAGATCCACTGGCGCGCTTGCCCAATGCCCCCCCCCATCTGAATTTGCAGCGCCGCCAACTTCGTCTCTGCGCCCCTCGGTGCCCCAAGAGCCCACGGCGACGTCCGTAGCGCAAGGGCGCAGCCGCCCACCTCGGAAGTCAGGATCACCCTCTCCAGGTAAAGATGTCCCTCTTGTGCTCCTCGTTGTGATGTTTGTGCTGGTACTCGTTGCGCGCGCAGTCGAAGAAGTCGCGTGGCGATGTGTTGCAATAGAGCCGACTGTGGATATCGATATGCTAGACATGCAATCCAAATTCATTAACCGATAGTTCGTAGACGCAATATTGCCGACTGCGGGTGAAACGTGTTGGCCGTGAGCTGCGAGTCAGTGGTTGCTGGGCCCTCGCCCACTTCCCTTGGCCACGCCCTGGGTGCCCTCCATGCCCTTCGCCCCCTTCGTGCCGGCCGACGCCCGGGCCCACAGGTCGTTGGACGTGTTTCCCGGCTCTTTGACGGCAGCGTGGTTGCGCAGCTCCCTCCACGCAGCCCACTCCCCCTGCCGCGTGGACAACACCGTCTTCAGACACATGCACTGTCAGAGCGTGTTCTCCGCCTACCGTCATGACGTACGGGGCCTCTTCCGCGATGGAGATGGCGTAGCGGGCGGCCCTCTCCCTCTCGAGCAGGCGCTTGCAGCCGAAACAATACTTCATGGCAGGGCGATCTGCTGGGAACCTATCCTGGTTGGTCCAGACGCACTCCTGGCCACTGTGGAGGCCCGCGCGTCGGAGTAGCTCAACAACAAGATCCCGACCAGACGAAGACAATCAACAACGACATCCCCTCGAAGTCGCCCTTGCTGGAGATCATCGTGGGCAGAAGGGCGCCCAGGGTCTGCAGCTTGTCTTGGTGCAGCTCATCGCGTCCTCCAGGCTGGTGAGCCGTCGGGGCCCGCGCGTCCGTGGGCCCTCCCGGTGGAGCCCTCGTGGTGGACTTGGCGGGAGCCCCATGCAAATATTTCTGAATTGACTCACGGATTTTACTCTCGAATCGGTCGTCGTCCATGCCCTGGTGCTCTGCAGGCCCTCGTAAATCGACTCGCGCTTCTCCGCCTTCACGTCGGCCACGGCGATGCGCTTCTCCAGGGGCCCCCGGCGCTCGAACAGCGCGGTGTCTAGGTATGTGATGTTGGTGTCCACCCTAGCATGCTCCTTCTGAAGTTGCGGCGCGGCTGAGGCGACTGGCGCGAGCTGCAATTGGAAGAGTGTCGCCATGGCCTCCATGGTCACCGGCTCCTGCGCGGAGATGTGCTCTTCCTCCTCCTCGTCCTCGCCCTCGTCCATGCGGTAGTGGGGCGCCCGCGTTTCTTCTCGTTCGGCCCCTTCGCCAAACAAGGGCGAGTAGGTCCGCGCCCCGCGCGGGCGAACTTCATCTTCTCCCATGGGCTCTTGGTGAGCACGTCGCGGACAGGAGCGCCTGCAAGGCGAGTGTTCCGAGGTCCTCGATGGGGCGAGTGGGCTCTGACATCGCTCAACAACTTCGAAAGCTCAACCTCAAAGCCCCATTCGCGCTGGAGGACGCCATCGGGGCAAGGAACGAGCGGTAGATGCCCGGACACGGGTCTCAAAAGAAATAATACGAGTGAAGGGTGGCGGCCTGAATGGCCCCCTTGAGTGCCCCCTTGCCCTTTGAGCGCCACCATGGGCCCCCTTGAGTGCCCCCTCGTGTGTTATGTGACAATCGTGCCGATACTCACTCGCGACACTTATGTCTACCTCCTCACGCCAGGGGGTCAATGGCCAGCGGCGCTAGCAACCGCCAGCTGGAGACGCGCGCGCCAAGCCCTCGAGCCGCGCCACGGCCCCCCCGAAGCCGCAGGAAACCTCCAAGCGGCCCTCGGGACCCGCGGGGGCGACGGGGCGGAACCCGGACCAAGGGCCAGGGCTCTCGGGACGAAAGGCCTCTGAGGGCCCGAGGGGCGGGAAACGCCGAGGCCTGAGGGGTGGGGTCAGAGCGGAGGGGCGGCCAACCTCTGTGCAGCATGGGGTATTCCTCACCTTAATCCCAACAGCTCGTCTGGGCATCGTTCCTGGATGGGCTGGTGGGTGTTTTTTTTGTTTGCAGCCAGCCGCAGGCGAGCGCGGACGGCGCGCAAGGTCCGAGCGGGCCGCGCGAGGGCCTAAATTACCTAGCACGAGCCATCCTACCGCCGAGCCTCTGCCCAAGACCAGGAAGAAGCCGAAGGGGGGGGCTGCGGGCTGCTGACTGCCAGGGGCTGCAAACGTGCATCGCGCGGCAACGTGCAAGCGGGCTGCAGACTGCCGAGGGCTGCTGACTGCCAGGGGCTGCAGGCTGCCAGGTGTGAGTTGAACTGCAGAGAATTTATCGACCGCTGCGGGCTGCAGAGGCTGCCAGGGCGGCCTGAACCGTGAAGGCCTGAACCACCGGGTAGACGAATTGAGCGTGCGTAAATTTGCCAACCGAAGCTGGAGCGCAGCCAACATGGCGCGCAGTTGCACCGGGATGTGACCAGGGTGACGGTAAACCGGTATACGGACTGCCCGGGATGCCCACCTCGGCCCAGCAGGTGCGCGCGGTGGCGCCACCGACGTCGCGCACCAAAGCCCCGTTGAAGGGGGCGCGGTCCGCAATCGTCCAGCCGCAGATGGCAACTGGGACGAACAGGGGCCAGGCGGACGATGGAGAAACTCAGCGCCGCACGCATCTGAGCCATCGGGCCGAAGAGAGCCACGAGACTTTCCGCTGGCGCCGACGACGTGGGCGGCCCAACCAGTAGGCGGCACGCCGCGGGGCCGAGCCACGGAGCGAGGGGTGGGCCGCGGGCGCCGCCGTCAGAACCGTGGACTCAACACGGCGGGTCAGCGGACTGATGCACAGGCTGCGCCACGTGCGCCCGGGGGCCACGAGCCATTTGAAGAGAGACAGAACCGCAGGAGTGGCGGCATAGAGAAACCGAGGCCAGTGGGGCGACGCGCCGCGCAGCCGCCGGCACGGGCTGCAGGGGGCCAGCCGCGGGAGGGGCCGCCCCAGCACGGGGGGGCACCCGGGGGCGCGAGGAGGACGCGCCGACGGTGAAAACAACTACAGCGGGCCAGAGGCCGAAGGAGAGGTGGACCACAGCCCCAGCGGCAGTCCACGAGCCAGCATTGTCAGCTGGTCGCTGCCAGAACCCCAAGGGCGGGGGGCAGCGGGAACTGGACAGAGAGTGTTGCCAGGGAGTAGCAACACTATCTGCAAATACCACAGCGACCGCCGCATCCATGCGCGGCGGGCTGCGTCTAGTGTGAAACACGGGCGGGGGCCCGCAACGTGGGCCCCCGGGCCGAATGGGAGGAGGGCCCAGGCCCCGATGGCAATCCACTTGCCAGCGACGCCGGCAGATGCCGTTAGCCCCCGAGGCGGGGGACAGCGGGAGCGGGGCAGAAAGCGATGCCAGGGAGTGGCTAACGGCCACTGGTTTGCCGACTACAGAGGCCCACGCTGAGAGCGGGGGCATGTGCTGCCTCGCCCGATGAGACCGTCACTCCGTTCCCTTCTGGCCTAGCGGGCCCTGTTTCTCCTTGCAAGGTCTGCTGGCCACCAGGGGTGCCCATTGGGGCGTCGGGGCACGGGCGTCGGGATGCAAGGGTGCCTCGCTCGCCTGCGCGAGAAAGGGGGGGCGCAACTCTGGGGGGAACTGTCGCCGCAGAGTGTTGCCCTGCCGACCGATGAGACCGCCCCTCCGCCCCCTTCTGGCCAAACGGGCCCTGCTTCTCCTTGCCAGGACTGCTGGCCACCAGGTGTGCCCATTGAGGCATCAGGGGTCGGACATGGGAAGGTAAGGGTGCCTCGATCGAGGCGTGGCGCCCCCGGCCCCGTGGCCCGCCGCGGCTAACCGCTGGTCGGCATACCAGGATGCCGGGGAGAAGCTAGAGGTGGCACTCTCTGCAATAACCAAAGCAGCCGAAGCGCAATGCGCGGCAGGCCGCGCGCAATGTGAAACGTGGATCGGCGCAACTGCGATGGGGAGGGGACGCGCGGGGAGCGGTGCCGGGGCGCGGCATTCGGCCACCAGCTGCCGGGGGCCCTCAGTGTCAACGCCTTGCGCGGGAGCGCATGCCCCCCCTCCCGTCGCCACTGTAGTCACTGCCTCGTTTGCCCACAGCCTGCCAGTCGTCGCCGCCCCAGGCTTGCGACCAGGACCAGGTGTCCCAGCCCCAGGGCTGCTGGGAGCTTGACGCCCGACCTCTGGGCTGGAGGGCGCCTTTGCCCTGGTTCCCCGACTATTTGCTGCGCTCTCGGCCCCAGTCAACCTGAAGGTCATGCCGACGGTTCATTACGTCGGCGCCGTACCCGCAGCGCTTCCAGGCGTCAAGGAACTCACGGCAGGTGGCTTCGGAGTTCCGAGCGAGGTCGCTTTTCGGGCCGTTGGGCCCCGCGGGGTGCGCGGGTGTAGGCGTGCCAGATGCTGCTGAAAACTCCTCCCGGGGCCTTCTGAAGACGCGAAATCGTTGCTGCAGGTGCCTCGCCGATCCCGTCGAGCTCGACGTTGCCAATCAGTTCCTTGCACATGCGGCCCCCGTCGACTGGGTCGAGAAGGCCGTCGAAGAGCCGTCTCACGGCCCTGTCGTGCTGCCACGGGGGGGTCGTGTCGCGCTTCGCTGGGGCTGCTGCTGACGCGCTGCTGCTCCCCGGTGCGCCAGCTGGGGAGGCTTGCCTGCGCGGGGGGTCGTGACTCGCCCTGGGCGATGGACCGACGCTGGCCTTGCCCGCTGCTTGGCCCTGCTCAGGCCGGCTTGAGCCGCCCGCGTCCAGCCCAAAGATCATCGGGGGGTCGTCGGGGGGGCTGCCGCCGGTTGCCTCGCCTGCGGTATCGAGCGAGGGTGGGAACGAGCTGCCGTCGGGGTCGGCGGAGCCGTCTGCTGTTTCGCCCGGCGGCGACGAGGCTGGCGGTGGGGCTTCGTCACCGCCGTCCTCGCCGTAGTCGATCCCCTCGATGTCCGCCTTCACGGTGGGCGCTAGGCTCGTTGGGGAGCAGGCTACTTCCTCCTCGGGGGAGGCCTCTGTCGCCTCGCACTCTGACGTCTGGAGGCCGTGGTCTGCCCTCCGTGTGGGAGGTTCGGTATCCTTGGCGACCACGCCGCTGATTGGGGCGCCGGAGGCCGGGGTGGCCTCGCCCGCCGTCGTAGCTGCTCCCTTTGGTTTTGGCTGTAGCCAGGCCATCGTGGCTTCCCCTGGGGACGCCGAGTGGGCTTCGTCGATGCGCGCTGCCAAGGGGTCTTGTCCTGCGAGGGTGGCGATGGAGGCAGCTGCGAGGGCACCTGGGTCCAGGCTGGCGTTAAAGCTGGCAAGGACGGCGAGGTCGTGGCGGAAGGGGCTAGGTCCCTTGCTGGATGCCAAGCTTAGATGAGGCGCTGTCCAGGCGTCCTTGTGCCTGGGGCTGCGCAGCAGGTGCCCTACCACCCGAGCCGCGGCCCGCCTCTTGCCGTCCCAGGGGGCACCTTCGGGGAGGCCGTCTTCTGGGACCTCTGAACCGCACGCCCTGGTCAGGAAGGGGGACAGCTGGCGCGCGCGCCAGGAGGTCTCCAGATCGTTCGGGGCTGGAATCTCAGCGCCGCCTGCCTTGACGAAATCCATCCACCGCTCGTCCAGTGTGGGGTGGCTGTCCCGCAGGTAGGCGACCAGTGTGTGGTGACCTTCCTTCAGCTTGTTGCGACGACCGTGCTTGGGTTCACTTCTTCCCTCGTCGAAGTCTAGCGCGGTGACTTCCCTGCAGCTCAGCCTTGGGGCCTCTGGTGGCGGTTGGTCTGGGGGGGGGGCCAGGACATCGGGGGCCGTGCGTCTGAGCGGGTCGGGCTGCGGTCCGCTGGCGATACCCCCTCCTCCGCTCGCCGCTGGGTTCGGATCCGACGCCGCAGGTACGAGGAGGGCGGCCAGGTCTGGGATGGCGTCGCTGGGGTCCGCCTGCGGGCTGCAGGCTGCCGCGGGAAGATATCCCGGGAGCCGCGGTCCATGATGTGGTCCAGGCTTGCTGGGGCAACGTTCCAAATATG